AATTTGGAGACCTTCTAGACTGAAAAAACACAGAAAATGCGTTTTTGGCTTATGGGCATGGGAGGCAACAACTCCCAGAATGCACTTGCTTCGCTGCTCTAAGAGACCACTCCCAGGCCATGCCTACCGGTAAGAGAGCGCTGTTAAACAACAAGGCTAGGCTACTGGTGAGTCTCTGTGACGAGTCTGCCTGGGATTTTGTGATCGCCAAAAATGTTCTATGTTCTACACTCGCCATTCATCATGTTTACTGGCTGGACGAGGCTAGGGCCGTGGGAGAACGGCGCAAGAACCAGTGGCATGATTACTGATGAGCGACACCTGTGAAATGCACCAGTTTTGTATCTCTCATGGAGTAGCGTGAATTTTCTTAGCAATGCCACTGATTACTTATTTAGCGTTCATGTCAACACAACATTCAGATTCACCAATCAGAATGAATTCAGTTAGATTGAAACAAATGGTGTGCATGTAAACATTTAATAGCAACTGCAGAAAGCAAAAGCTGAATCCCGGACATTTTGGACTCAATGGCCGGACATGTCCGGGAAAAAAAGAGGATGTATGGTAACCCCTACTACTCAGCTTTTGCCACAGAACAAAATCCTGTTAGCGTAGCTTCCAAATAAAAGATGTCTGGCTCTATTTTGTACATTCTATGAGTGAGATCTCTGGGTGGGTTGAAAACATACTGAACTGCTCCTTCTACTGGCTGTATTTTTTTATTTATTTTTTTTAAATGACGATATTTGCCTCATCTGTAAATCTCTCGTCTCAAGGGCATATGAGAGCAGAAAGCATGGTAATTTGAAAATACTACAGGTTTTCTATTGACACAAAGCTTATTGCTAAATCCTGAAGTATCCCTTTGACACCCCTATAAGTCACTCGTCGCATCTGTCACAATGGTAGGAACTGTAAATGCAGTGAGTGATTAGTGAAGCTGGAGAAGAGTGGAATTATGTTTGTGCCACAATTCTGTATGTGCAACTTCATATTTTAAATGCTGGTTTGGAAACACCCATTTTATCTGCCTCATCTCTAACTTTCTGGAATAACGGCATAATGTATAATTAATTGAGCTTTGTTAAGCAAATGAGTTTCATTTTAGACAGCACAGATGGCAGGTATCACGGCACTGAGCAAGTGAAACAAAAAAGAAAAGAAGACGACTGCACACATTTAACTGTTTGGTTGCAAAATAATTTCTACTTTGCAAGATCATTACAATGATCATTCATTATCGTGCTCTTTCTCAAAATGCTCTTTTGTGTGCTCAATATATGATCTGTCCACAAACATTACTCTATAGAGAAGTGCACCAATATACAACACATACATTCCATTTGGCTGTTTCTTTAATGTGTTCATGTTCATGTGCTCCTACTGTATGTTGTCAGTTTATATCCTGCAGGCCTTTGTTTCAATGTTGAGAGCTCCCTCTCTCTCGGTGTGTGTGCATTGTGGCACTACTCATGAGTCAGACTGCCCTCAGCACAATACTAGTGGAGGCTGTTGTCAACATGGACAATTGCACCAAAATAGCTATGATCTATCTATATACACTCACCAAAAGGATTGTTAGGAACACCTGTTCAATTTCTCATTAATGCAATTATCTAAACAACCAATTACATGGCAGTTGCTTTAATGCATTTAAGGGTGAGGTCCTGGGCAAGACAATCTCCTGAACTCCAAACTGAATGTCAGAATGGAAAAGAAAGGTGATTTAAGCAATTTCGAGCGCGGCACGGTTGTTGGTGCCAAACGGGCCGGTCTGAGTATTTCACAATCTGCTCAGTTAATGGGATTTTCACGCACAACCATTTCTAGGGTTTACACCTCCAAAAACATCCAGTATGCAGCAGTCCTGTGGGCGAAAGTGTCTTGTTGATGATAGAGATCAGAGGAGAATGGGCCGACTGATTCAAGCTGATAGTAGAGCAACTTTGATTGAAATAACCACTCGTTACAACCGAGGTATGCAGCAAAGTATTTGTGAAGCCACAACACAGCATTGAGGTGGATGGGCTACAACAGCAGAAGACTCCACATGGTACCACTCCACTACAAATATGAAAAAGAGGCTAGAATTTGCAAGAGCTCACCAAAATTGGAAAGTTTACAGAAGACTGGAAAAATGTTGCCTGGTCTGATGACTATTGATTTCTGTTGAGACATTCAGATGGTAGAGTCAGAATTTGGCATAAACAGAATGAGAACATGGATCCATCATGCCTTGTTAGCACTGTGCAGGCTGCTGGTGGTGGTGTAATGGTGTGGGGGATGATTTATTGGCACACTTTAGGCCCCTTAGTGCCAATTGGGCATTGTTTAAATGCCACGGCCTACCTGAGCATTGTTTCTGACCATGTACCCATCCTCTGATGGTTGCTTCCAGCAGGATAATGCACAATGTCACAAAGCTCGAATCATTTCAAATTGGTTTCTTCAACATGAAATGAGTTCACTGTTCTAAAATGGCCCCCACAGTCACCAGATCTCAACCCAATAGAGCATCTTTGGGATGAGGTGGAACGGGAGCTTTGTGCCCTGGATGTGCATCCCACAAATCTCCATCAACTGCAAGATGCTATCCTATCAATATGGGCCAGCATTTCTAAAGAATGCTTTCAGCACCTTGTTGAATCAATGCCACGTAGAATTAAGGCAGTTCTGAAGGCGAAAGGGGGTCAAAGATAGTATTAGTATGGTGTTCCTAATAATCCTTTAGGTGAGTGTGTGTGTGTATATATATATATATATATATATATATATCAGACTGATCTCATGAAGTAGCGTGTGTATGCCACGGCAATTCGTATTTCCATTTTTGGCGTGCTATCAAGACGCATAATCGCCTTTCAGCGTGTTTATGAACGCCGTTGACTTAACGTTATATATAAATATATGACTTACCTCAACCCCGTCCCTAAACCTAACCGTCACTGGGGTTAATGGCATTTATGACTGTTCCCTTACCATCCTAGGTAAAAAAAAAAGATATGACTTACCTCAACCCCATCCCTACACTTAACCGTCACTGGGGTTAATGGCATTTATGTCTGGAGATTTGACTGCGCGTACAGACAAGCGGAATGACGCGCACGTTAATGGCGTAGACATACACGCATACACGCGGATACACGCGGATAGTTTAAAATGCGTAGAGATAGATAACACGCCACCTGACTCGAAAGTGGCGTGTATGTTTACGCAAAAGTCATGATGTCATGTTGTATATATATATATATATATATTGTATATGAAATGAAAAGAGTGGAAGTCCTCTCCTCTGAGATTGATCCTCTGGAGACCATGTTTTCTGGAATTTGTTCTGTGGTTCAGCTCTTTGAATATCTCTTATCTTGCTCGTTATAATTTTCCCATGAGTATCTTTTTTAAATTTCTCTGGGATTTCAACAGCTGGTACTGAAACGGTTGCTTGTCAAATCCATCCTCTTCTCTATGCACAAATATTGCTGCATGCAGTCTAATGAAGGAAACTATTTGTTGTGCAGACCAAACTGCAAACTGTATAGAGACAATTGCACCATAAACATCTTTGTTGATGTCCTGATGGCAGTTTTTATTTGCATTGCTAACACTTTAGATGTTAAAATTCAATCTTTTGTGACAAAATAATAAAAGTCCATTTAACTCATTCCAGGACTATTGCTCAGAAAGACAAAATGCACCATTCAAAAGTTGCCCACATGCACTGTTTTCATCTGACAGATTTGTAAGTGTAAATTATTTGTAAATATACCTGATATTTATATTTGACATTCAAGATTGACATTCAACATCATAAATCTTGCTGGAACATAACGTTCCACCTAAATAGACAAAAAACATGACTAAATTCGCAAGCTTTGTTGGAGGGAAAGATTTTTAGTGAATGCACCACTTAAATTTCGAACTGCATGTCACTTCATCATATGAGTTAGAAAACAGTGCACTATATGATTTTAACAGTAATAATAATAAATTAATAAATAAAAAATAAATAAAAAAAAACAGTTTGGCCATTCCATCATATGTGCAGAATTAATTATATTACATCAGTTCATTTGCTTGAAAGGTCCTAAATTGCATGATAAAACCTCTTCAGCAAATCTTTCCATATACAGGTATATTAAACATGGTAAACGATCCATAATTATAATTTAAATGGATTTCAACATTAATCAGCCAAATAATGTGATACTGCAGAGAGCTCATCATTTTTAATGTACTGTATGTTTACGTCTCTCTATTAGTATATTAGGGCTTTATACAGTATATGAATCAGGCTTTGTAATAAAACATATTTTTATTTTAATTTTTTTTCTGCAAATTTGTGAAATGGTTTTAGACATTTAAAGTCTTTAAACAGTGCTGATCTCTTGGTATAGCTAAAATGATCAAATTCGCCAAAATATTAAATAAATTAACACGATTAACAGGATTTAAAGAACTTTAAATGACAGGTGTTTCAATTTTGGCTTTATGCAGATTCCTCTGAGGCTGCCATTCATTTAACTATTTAAAAGCTTTTCTTTCTGTCAATTAGTTGCTGCTGAGAGGGTGTGATAGGCAATTTGCTTCCCAGGGTGAGGCACAATATCCAAGCACAAAGCGTTTAAATACTTCCTGAAACTAAAAGATTTAAAGCAGAACAGACTAGTTCTTTAATTGCTCACCCATTACATTACATTATAATCTCTGAGGTCTTACATCAATATGAAGATTGGCTTTCATAAGTATCATCCCCTGAAGATGACTTCATATTTTTGGTTCATTTTAAATTATACATCAGATGGAAACCTGTGAATAGAGATTCTTTCTCATGACAATTTGAGGGCTAACATACTTAATTTGTCCAAATCTCATTTGTATTATTATTATTATTTTTTTTTTTTAAATATGTACTTTTAAAGATTATCGATTGACCAAAAATAACTCATTTTGACATGTTTGAACACTTTTTAAAATCTCTACATGACTATGCCTTGCAGATATCCGTGGACTGCAGGTCTTTCTGGACCAGACATCAAGACAAGGTTTGGATGTATCTCTGCAGCGAGTGGATAGGAACATCAGCGGCGTGTTTTCCAGTTTGTTCACCTCCATGCGCACAGAGGAACTCAACCGCTACAGGGACACTCTCAGAAGAGCTATCCTGCTTTTGAGCCCACGTGGAGCCCAGGTCTTCATCCATCAGGTTTGTGCTGTTTTACCATAATTCTAGCACATAGTGGTCACTGGGGTAAGATGAGCCTGTAGGGAAGTTGTCCCACCTCTGGTAACTAGTTGTCATTTGACTAGGAGTGTATTCACTTGTTTTCTTGATGCATCGTTACAAAACCTATTTGCATCAATCTCGAAATTTGAATTTTTGAATAATAATAATAATAATAGTTTGTAATTATTAGTTTAACTGAATGAACATCTTAAGTCACTTATAAAGCTCCCAACTCATTGTATGGCCAGTTAACATTCACATATATGTGTCAACACAACTGTTCATGTTGGTAAATGTCCATTAGGTCTTGAAGCAGGGGTTTCAAGCTCAGTTCCTGGAGGGCCACTGTCCCAAAGTGTTTAGCACAAACCCTAATTAAATACACCTGAAACAGGTTATTAAGGTCTTCAGGACTACTAGGCTGTGTTTGAAATCACCCTGTTATCTTCATTCACTATTCCCTAGATTACTTCACTAAGGCTATGTTTACTATACACAGAAACAATCTGAAGAGAAAACGCAAAAAAGGCGTTGCGTTATCCCTTTTTATTCTACGTTTAGATGAGTGTTATGGGTGGGAAATCTGCGCACATATGGTGACGCAAAAGTGTGAAATTCAATGTAGTCTGTACTCCAGGCAGCTAGGTGGCAATGTGGCACTGCCACACAACACCACCAAGTCCACGCGGCTGCGTACAACCTTCACTGTCTAGCAGACTATTGCATTTTTTTACCCTTTACCCGCGTAAAGCAACGCAGCGGTGGAGCGTTTTTAAGATTTCCACTCTGCAGGGTGCATTCACTTTTTTGGCGTTTTTAAGCCCCCAAAACGCGTCACAGTGTAAACGAAAGGCACATCTGATAAAATATTTTTACATTTTCACCCGCGAGTGTCCTCGTGTAAACAGGGCCTAATATAGGCCACTTGAAGGAGTGAATTAAAACAAGTGAGTGAATACATTGTTTGTACATTCGTTATTGCGGTTCATTGTGAGTTTGAATGAATGCACTAAATACACTCTGAAAAAAAAAGGTACAAAAGCTGTCACTGGGGCTGTACCTTTTCAAAAGTACCTAAAGGGTGCATATTGGTACCTAAATGATACATATTAGCACCTAAAATGTACATATTAGCACATACAATGTACACAATAGCACCTAAAATTTACTGTACATATTAGCACCTAAATGTCCATATTAGCACCTAAAATGTACATAATAGCACCTAAAATGTACATAATAGCACCTAAAATGTACATAATAGCACCTAAATGTCCATAGTAGCACCTAAAATGTGCATATTAGCACCTAAAATGTATATAATAGCACCTAAAATGTCCATATTAGCACCTAAAATGTACATATTAGCTCCTAAATATCCATATTAGCACCTAAAATGTACATAATAGCACCTAAAATGTCCATATTAGCACCTAAAATGTACATATTAACACCTAAAATGTACATAATAGCACCTAAAATGTCCATATTAGCACCTAAAATGTACATATTAACACCTAAAATGTACATATTAGTAGCCTACCTAAAATGGACAGAAGTTTTCCCTTTTGAAAAGGTACAGCCCCAGTGACGGCTTTTGTACCTTTTTTTCTGAGAGTGTAACGTCCACTATGGTTTCGGACACCACTACAAATGGCTGTCCCCTCAATGCATTCTCATCCCAAGGCGTCATATACGACACTTTTGCAAAAGCGTAAACATCCAACGCACATGGCACCCTTTAGCGTCAAATGAGATGCTTCGGTTAAGGTAGGTTCAGGTATGGGGTAGGGTTAGGGTTAGACCACTAGAAGGCGCCTTCTGTCCCATATATATCTGCTTCTCATTTGACGCTAAAGGGTGCCATGTGCGTTGGATGTTTATGCTTTTGCAAAAGCGTCGTATATGACGCCTTGGGATGAGAACGGGCTCATCCCCTCAAACAGCACCCTAATTAAGGGTATAGGAGGCGATTTTGGACACAGCCCTAGAAAATTCCATGCATGTGTTTTAGAGCTGGAGCCAAACTCTGCAGGACGGTGGCCCTCCAGGAGTAGAGTTTGACACATGAAGTGTTAGTTCACCCAAAAATGAAAATTTTGTCAGTATTTATTCACCCTAATGTTGTTCCAAACCTTTATGTGTTTATTTGTTCTGCTTATACACAAAGGAAGATATTTGGAAGGATGTTTTAATCAAACAGATCTCATTCCCCATTGACTACCATAGTAGGAAAAAATACATACTATGGTAGTCAATGGGGAATGAGATCTGTTTGAATAAAACATTCTTCCAAATGTCTTCCTTTGTGTTCAGCAGATCAAATAAACACATAAAGGTTTGGAACAACATGAGAGTGAGTAAATACTGACAGAATTTTCATTTTCGGGAGAACTAACCCTTTAAAGACAGCAGCCTAATATATTTACTGCTTTCTACTTTGTGTTACTTAAATGACAGAAGAAAAAGACAATCACTTCTCTTGACTGAATAACTTTGGTAGCAATCAAGCTTAAATCAAGTTTAATTTATACAGTGAATAATATGCAGTTTTTTCTAAAACTGATTATACAGTTTCTAATCAAATCATTAACCAGAATGGAATCAAATCAACATCCATGAATCATATGAATATCTAACCCAAAGATTCACAGCCCTACATGTGATCGTACAATCAAATCCCTTTATGGAGAAAGCCATCTTGCTATTGCTTGTTCATATTACGTTTCCATACAGCAAGTCAGAACAAATTTATGTCAAAGCAGATTTACACAGATTGGTGTGACAGATATGATCATATAAATGTGTTAGCTAAAGATTTGTCCTGATTTTCCAAATGGTGTCTGAAAGGTGACATTGTTATAATCCTCTGCCATTTTACATATTTCTAATGTATATTTATTGGTCATACAGCAAATCCTGAAATATAATTACTTATAGGCTATTAGTACTTATATATAGTCTCTGCCTGGATAAAAACTTGAGTGAAAACAGATTCATTATGCCCTACAAAAGCTGTCACTTTTGTTGCATCCCTTCATAATGACTGTACAAATGACCTGGCAAGCTGGCACACCTTCACTGTCATTATCTCAGCATCTGATGTACACTCCTCCACTGATCTAAGGTCATACACATCCGTTAACATCACACGTTGGTCTTAACAAGCTCTGTGGGATCTGCACTGGAATCAGTCGCTCATGCTGGCAGGATGCCCATCATTACCAAGACCAAGAGTATGACTTTCTCGTGCATAAAGATTATGCCAGCTGTCTGTAATCTCCTCTGTTTGTGAAAAATGAGTGATTTTTATTAGATTAGCCTTTGATGATGCATCCCTTTGTCTGTAAATATGAACAAAATACATATTGGATCCTGCAATTTGGATAGAGGGTGATTTTGGACAAATGGATTGATGATAGAAAACAGACTGACATAAAACAGAAAAATAGACAGACAAATAAGTTAAACAGACAGACATAAAAGTGTCAATGCTAACCATTTTAATTACTCCCAACATAGATATGTAGGTATTTTCAACACTATCTCACGACCAATTCGTACGAATTCGACGCATGATTAAAAAGTGTCTAATTCGTACTAATTCGTACGACCTCACTCGTACTAATTCGTACGATTTGTCTAAACCCACGTGATGGTTAGGTTTAGGGGCGGGGTAAGGGGTAGGTAAAATATGTACGATTTAGCAAAATCTTATTAATTCGTACGAGTGAGGTCGTATGAATTGTTACGAATTAGCCACTTTTTAATTAATCATTCGTCGAATTCGTACGACTTGGTCGTGAGATCGGGTTGGTAATTTAGACTGTATAGAATGATTTCAGATGGGAAATACGTAATCATATAAAGTTGTTGAATGTGATTCTAGCATTTCAGTCTAAAGCAAGATCATAAGCTGATGGCTCAAAGCACAATACTTGTCCTAAGTGCAAGTGGACATAAGTTCAAATATTGCATGGATATGTTCCCAGACAGCAAACTGACATTGAATCAACGTGGAAACGACGTCTCTCATGACATTGAAACAACGTTGATTTGCTCATCGAATTAACGTTGAACCAACGTCAGACGCGGCATTTTTCAAAGCTAAATGAAATCGAAAATTGGTTTGCTTTCATAACGTTGAAACAACGCGTTGATTTCAAGTTGATTTTCGGTTAGTTTTGAAAGAATGACGCGTCTGATGTTGGTTCAACGTTAATTCGATGAGCAAAACAATGTCAGATCAACGTTGTTTCGATGTCATGTTTCCATGTTGATTCAATGTCAGTTTGCTATCTGGGTTTCTACTGAGAGATCAGTAAGAGTGGTAAATTTGGTTAGATGATATTTTGTAAATGTACGGGAATGGCATTTAGGCTTCTGTGACAGCTGCTGTAGTTAAGGGGCAGCTATGATGGGGTCCACCTAGGGATGTCGCGGTAACCGCAATATTGTAGTACCGCGCTTCTGACAAGTCAACCGCAGATGATTGCACGTAACCGCAGCAACCGCGATATTCACGTTTTTTTGTTTTATAAGGCTATACCCTTCTTGTTTTGAACCTAATGCATGTGTATTGAATGTTAAACGAGTTCATAATGATAACAAAACTGTTTATCATGGTGATGTGTAGCCTACAGGCTTCACACAGACAGTGAATGAGAGAGATCGGCAGATCGCGTGCAATTACCTGCGTCTGTCTTTGAAGTCGTAAAAAGCTTGTCGTGTCAAAGGGAAGCGAAATATTTGTTGCATCATCAACGTTTAACGTTCTCTTCACGGGTATTTTCCCATAAATGCGCGTCAGCAGCAGCGCTGGTCAGCATCCCACAGCACAAGGAAGCCGAAATAAAATCAGTGAGTCACGCATTGAATCAATGGGTCTCTAATAATTGAAGCATCAGCTTCAGCGTTACCCATGCGACGCATTGCTGCTCAGCTGATCCTTGAAAAGTTGAACATCAATGTTAAAAATA